GTTTTCTCATTTTTTTCTAGTTTCATCGTTTAACATTATTATTTTTTATTTAAAATGGCTTTGTGTTTTTTTTCGCTTTCTTTTATATTGAGTTATATAGTCTAATAACTTAGACAATAAATTTTACAAGTTAACTCGGTTGGCTTGCCTCTTATAGGCTACATGTCTATCGAGCATACTTAGATTGAGTTGGATTTTTTTTTAAAATCCAATTTTGTATTTTCAAGGTTTTTTTTTTGAAGTTATCATGATATTTATTTTTATAAAAAGTTTATCTGCTTACTTTTGTTGACTGTTTTTTTATCGTTTAGTTAAAATAGAACAAACTTATTAAATCCGGCTGGGCTCATAGCTCAAGTTGTTTTTTTATTTTTATTTTTTTCAGATGCATTTGCATCACCTATACTCTCATTGCCTTTTTTATATTATATATTTTTATTTATTTTAATTGATAGATTTTTTAAAAATGATATTTGAATTTATGTTTCAATTAATATCCCTCTTTTATGATTTTTTATTTTTCTTATTTAGCCTTTCAGTATAAAGTTTTTTTAATATTATGTATGTATTAAATTTTTTAAGATATTGTTTTGATTCATATATAAATTAATTTTTTATATTTTATATATACAAGATTTTTGAAAAAATATATTTGTTTTAATACGTGTTGCCTTGTATGATATTTTTTTTCCTTTTATTTTATTTAATCAATTTCATGTATGTGTCCATTTTTATTATTATTTAATTAAATAAAAAAATAATTTCAACAAACAAATTTATTTAACACAATCAAATATATGATCCATGTTGTGAGATTTTTATCTCAATTTACATCTATTTCTTGATTTTTTTATTTTTATCTTTAGTTATTGTTAATAATTTTTTTATTGATATAAATAATTCTTAATTTATCTAGTTAGATATATTAATAGGCTTTCTGATTTACAAATGTGGTTTTATTATGAAAAAAATCAAAACATTCTATATATTTAATATTTTTGTTGAAAAAAATATCCAACACATTGTTAAGCATGACTTAAAAAGCTAATAGAGTTTAGATTGCGGAAAAACAATGCCTTTTTTCTGCAAATCTCTAATGATGCGTGGATCGGCCTTGAGTTGATATTAAATTGTTTTTAACTACTTCAAACTTTTAATGGAAAGAAAGTTAATAAATCAAAATGACTTACAAATGTAGTTACGTATGTAAGGTGCAAATCTCCAAATATGGGTGGAAGGTTCATATGCTATTTGTAGGCTTCTTAGCCCAAGTGTTTAAATAAGTTATGGGCCTTGGACTTTCGAATTTAGCTCACATTTATTTTGTTTGGACCCGCTAAAATTACTAACATTCTACTATTTCTGGATCAGCAGCTTTGTAGGCTCGTTATCCAAGCCCGTGATCTTGTTTCCTATATTATAATCCAACCCCAGCAAATACATTTTGAGACCCAATTTTTGATATAGCTCACTGAAATATTGGCTCGGATTAAATTACTTTTTTAATATTAAAAAGTTTAGGTATTGTTAATATTTTTTTATATAAAAAATTTAAATCATATAGAGGAATTAATTTGATCATCTTGATAGGTCTAAAGATAATCTAGATGACATGTAAAAATATATTAATTCAAAATAAATATTTAAAATGAATTTATTTTATAAATACTTAAACGACAATATACTGAATTGATTTGAATCTACTCGAGTTAACTTACAAATCAGCATGTCAATTTATGAGACCATAATAACCAATATAAAACAAATTATGAAGTCTAATTTTCAATAAATTCGATATTGAATTAAAAAAAATAACTTGAGTTAACCTGGTTAACCTGCCAAACTGACAATCTAGGTTATGAAATCGAGATAGTTCAGTACAAATAAAATTGAAACAAATCACTAAGCCCAATTTTCAATCAATTTAGTGTTGAAAATTAAAATTTTAAGAAATAATTTAAAATATAACAAAAACAAAACTCCAATCAAACTAATTAGCAAAAATAAATCACAAAGCTTTATTTTTTACAAAACCTGATATTGAATTATAAAATTGAAAGAAAAAAATCAATCAAGTCATGCAATTAAGATAACCTCGTAAAAATTATTTTTAAAAAAATTATGAAGCCTAGTCCTTAACAAACCAAATGTTGTGAGACGAACATAAAATTAAAAAATCAATAAAAAAAGATATAAAAAATGACTCGAGTCAGTAAGATAAGTCCATTGAATTTGTGTTCTAGGCTATGAGACAAGGATAACCTTGTAGAATATAAGCTGAAACAAAACATAAAACACAATTCTTAATCAATCTAATATCAAATGATATAATTAAAAATAATAATTAGAAAAATAAAAAAAAACTCGAGTTAATCCGTCAAATTCGCAATCCAAATCATAAGACTAAAATAACTCAATAAAAAATGAATTGAAAAAAGTTATAAACCCCATACCACATTCATGAAACCGATCTCATAGAAAACAAAGCAAAACAAGCCACTAAACTTAATTTTTAATTAATTAAACATTGAAATGTAAGATCAAGAAAAAAAATTAATTAAAAAAAAACTTAAGTTGATCGAATCAACTCGTCACTCCTTTGGTCTGAATTGCAAGGTTGAAGTGTCCACATAAAAACTAAATTGAAAAAATTATAAAATTTAATCATCAATAAATTTAATATTGAAGAATAAAATTAAATTTATATAAAAAACATAGATTAAAAAACTAAAAAAATAAAACAATATTATAATTAATAATGTTTTGTAAGGTAGGGTATAATAAAATCAACTTCTCCTTTATTTTTTATTAAATATTGTTCATGTCTAGAACTTATTGTGCTGTAATACGTGTTTGAGTGTAGTAATGTTTAGTGAGTGAAAATATTTAAATTTGATAAAGTTTTATTTTTTTCTTGACCATAGAATAGAATTTGTCATGTTGATTTATACTTTTTTTTTTCATGTCAATACATTCTCTTTCAAGTATTTTATGTTCATAACTTATCAATATTTTATCTTCAAATTAAACGTTAAATTTAAAAAAAAATATTTTTTTTTTTAAAATACAGGGAAAAATAACATACATAATGCTGACATTTTAAAATATCATCTTAAACTAAATGAAAGAAGTTGACATTTTAAAATATCATCTTAAACTAAATGAAAGAATTAAAGAAATATTAGGCCAAAACAATTCATATGAAAAGAAAAAGAAGAAATTTTTTTTTATAAAAAAATGTTTTCGGAAAGGCTCAAGGTATAGTAACTATATAAACCAATTATCCGACCACCAATTATTTACATGATTAAAAAAAAAAAAAACCTAAGGAAAGCAAAAGAATGGCTGTAGATGGGCTTTTAAGAATCAAAGCCCAAGGGGAAGTGGATTTGTTTGGTGGAGTTTTATTCCGAGGAAGATACCCAACAAGCCCAGCAATCCAGGGTTGTTTGAAACAGTTGTTCGAATTGTTTCAATAAAGATTTCGGATCGTGTTCTCGATGAAAGAGTCGAGTGGATATTCGAATCCATAGTCTTGATGCTCGATACGCGCTCAGTATGTTCATTGGATCTTTGATTCCGAGCATTCCCTGCTGGTTCTATGTTTTGCTGTGCAATCCACGCAGCTGATTTCCTGGCTAGGCTGGCTTCAATTAGCCTGTTAGGATTTCCAGTGCAGCCGCATCTTGTTAATTAGTAAATGTTTTGCATTGCGATCTACATGTTTATTTTTCTAATAAATTAAAATAATATTATTTTTCAGATTTTTCTTCTTATTCACCAAAAACGCCATAATTTTTTTGATAAAAACGTTAAATTAATAATTTTTTAAGACAAACATGTTATTTAAAATCACCTCCTAAAACAAACTGTTGCACTCACAAAGATATTCAGATTTTTATTTGTTTGATAACGTGAATTTTTTTAAAAAATACTAATTCAGTATTTTTCAAACAAAACATCATTTAAAAAATATTTTAAAAACAAGTTGAGAGTTAATATTTTTTCAAATAAAATATAATTAAAAAAATACTATAAAAACGAGTTAAATAATGTTAGAAAGATACCTGTTTGTAAAAGTGTTTTTTAAATTAAATTAAATTAAATTTTATATTTTTAAATTATTTTAATATATTAATATAAAAAATAATATCTTTTTTTTAAATATTTTAATATATTTATAAATAAAAATTATTTTAGAAAACATCAACCAACACAATTACAATAAGCGTGTGAAAAAGGCGTAGACTATACATAGCACAATGTTAATCCCTTTTTTTTCCCATCGACCCGTACTGCCATGAAAGATTTTTGATTCCAATTGAACGGCTGAGATAGGTTCTCTGCTTCTCATTTTTCCGCGAGTGGGTCGAAAAAGCAAAACTCGTTTGTGGGATCCACGTGGCATGGGACCCGAAATAAATCATAACAAACGTGGCATTATATAATTGGTCTCATTTATTCCCCGAAGGTATCTAACAAGGAGGAGATGAATCCATCCACTTTTGCTGACGCAAACATCACGTCACTAACCCCACTACTTCAAAGTGAAAGCACAAAACGTGTAACAATCAAGTACACCCAATCCTACACCACTCCCTCAATCAACCACTTCTTTGTATTTAGGCCAATCAAATCACCCCACATCTTTGACAAGACACTCAAGACTGCCCCTCTCCATGGCAAACTCGTAATTCAAATAATCTCAGATGTCAATTTACTTTAAGAAAACAGTCTAAAAGGAACCTATATCTTTTACCCTTGGATTTTTTTAATTATCTTAAAAAAGGGAGTACATTGGATGAGTAATGGCTTTGTGTCAACGGACGCCAAATGAAATTCAAATGCAGCGGAATTGTGTTTTTGCCTATTTCTAATAACTAACAAAAAAATAAACATATTTAATCTGTTATCGTCTTCTTCAATAATAATAATAATAATAATAATAATAATAATAATTATTATTATTATTATTATTTCCCGGAAGAAGTTGTACTCGCACTCACCACTACTTCCTTCCTTCCTTTCTTGGTTGCCTCCAATCATTTTCCTCTCTGTTTCTCTCTCTAAAAAAATCTCTCTCTTAATAATTATTATATTTGCTTATTTTTTCATTCTAATTTCCCGGCGGGAGAGAAGGCAGAGGTGGGAGAAGAGTAAAAGAAAGATACAAAGATACTTCTACGAAACTCTCTCTCGTGATTATATATATATATATTTATATATTTTTTTTCCATTGTACCAGTGAAGTTAAAAAGAAAAAAAGTAATTTGATCGTCAATACAAAAAGCTTAATTCGTTAGCTTCTTTCTCTGGAGTCTGTCTTCAATGCCCTCTTCTTAACTGCTCTCTCCCCTTCCCTCTCAAAATAAGGTACTCTTTCTCTCCCTTTTTCTTCTAGTCGTAGGTAATTCGTAGTTTAATCTGTTAGAGTTTGATCTTTGATTGTTTTATTTTCTTTCTGGTTAGGGAGTTAATGATGCTGTTTGGAGTTTTTGTATGTTTTGGGCATGCTAAATTTGATTTTATAATAATAATAATAATAATTATTATTATTATTATTATTATTATTATTCGTTTTGGCTAATTTCTGGTTTTTGGAGCTCAGGGTTGACCCGAAATTGAGTGAACTGTGGAGTGAGCTTTATGAGCTGCTGCTGACCTGATATATATTTTATTTTGCTTGGTTGCATGATTTGAATTAAATCAAATTTTGCTATTTTTGGTGTTGCTGGGGTTTTTTTTTTTCTAGAGTGTTGACTGGGTGCCTAACGCTAGTGTTTTTGTGTGCTAATTTTTTGTTCACACGCCTGTTTTTAGCCTCTATAAGATTTAACATGTGATTGAGAGTGTAATTATGAAGAATTAGAACATGGAATTTCTTTAATTGATAGATTGGGAGTAATGTATCTGGATTAGGGATTGTTTTTTCTTTTTATATTTTGTCTGCTGAAAATATAGGAAATTGCTTGTTGAACTCAATTAAAGTCTGCTGATCGGTACCGAATTGATCTTACCTTATTTCGTTGCACGATAAATTTATATTCATGTCTACCCTTTCAATGGTTGAGTGTCTGTTCTTTTCCATTTGCTGTGTTAGTGAGAAGAGAATAAAAATGGAGCAAAACTCAAAGGACGCAGTACCTGGTAAGTCTCCTGATGCATTCCTTTTCTTTTGACTCCCTCATATCTTGAAACCTAACACATACACACACATGCCTATTTTTTGTTAGTGTAGATGTATGCTTTAAATTGATAATGTCTTGATTGGACTTCTGTGTCTGTTTACAGGTCCATCAAAAATTCCAGCTGTTAATAGTAGTAAGAAGGTGGTTACTGGTGCATGGGGCATCCCACTTAGAATTGATGCATTTCAGTCGTCGAGTGATGCAAGCTTGTTTTCGAGTTCATTGCCTGTCCTTTCACATGAAAAGCGTATGTCTAAGCTCTTCTTGCTAGGTGCTATGGATTTTTTTCTGATAACATATATTTTTTATTTTGAAATTTTTTTATGTCCATGCAGTGAACTTTAACGATTCAGAGAATTATGGTCGATCTATTGATGATAGCCCACCTAACTTGAATAATCTCGACCTAGAAACTGAGGTTACTGATCTATTTGAAGACATCGAACCAAGTGCAATTGGAAATTTGCTTCCTGATGATGATGAGCTTCTTGCTGGCATAATGGATGATTTCGACCTTAGTGGGTTGCCTAGTCAACTGGAGGATTTGGAAGAAATTGATCTCTTTGGTCCTGGAGGGGGGATGGAGTTAGATTTTGAATCCCAAGAAAGCCTTCGTATTGGTATGTCCAAGCTAAGCATGACTGATGGGATTCCTGCAAATGGGGTTGGTCATTATGCTCTTCCAAATGGTGTGGGAACAGTGGCTGGGGAACATCCATATGGGGAGCATCCTTCAAGAACATTATTTGTTCGGAATATCAATAGTAATGTGGAGGACTCTGAATTGAGATCTCTCTTTGAGGTATGTTCACAGTTGTTAGAATGCCAGATGTCACTCATCTAAAAATGATTGTTCCCCGTTGTTTTACTGTTTATTGCTTGCTTAAAGAATAACCATGTTGATCATGCTAAATCCTTTCTGAAAATTTGTCCATATTTGGATCACCACATACTTGATTAGTTCATGTATCGTGAATATGGTTCCTTGTCATAAATGACTTTTTCCCAAAACACTGTCAAAGTTATCGAAGCCTTTTAGATGATAGAACAATTACTTTGCATCGACTCTACTTACCTGCTTCCTTTCTCTTCTGAAATTTCTGATTGAGAATGTGCATTTTTTTTTAGTATTTTCAAGCAACCTATTTCTCTGGTTTTAAATCAATATATAAAATTTGTGATAGTTGGTGCAACTCGCATCAGTATTTAGCTAACGTGATAAGCTGTTATAATGATCTCTAATGACTGTTTTTTTGGATTCATCTTATTAAATTTAAATTAAATTCCTGACCTCTTTATTGTCTTTGTTTATATGTTGATGTCAGGATGTATATAGTGTTGCTTTTTGTTAACTGCAAATTAGATATGAAATTTGTTGTTTCGCATTGCTGTTGATGAAATCAATTTAATTAAAATAATCCTCAATTAAGCTTGGGGGTAGCCATAAGCGTAATTATATAGATGTGAATTTTTTTCTCAGTAGCTAGTGCTTACTCTCAAACCTTTTCAATTCTTGTAGCAATATGGGGATATCAGAACATTATACACTGCTTGCAAGCATAGAGGCTTTGTGATGATATCTTACTATGATATTAGAGATGCTCGGACTGCAATGCGTGCTTTGCAAAATAAGCCCTTAAGGCGGAGAAAACTGGACATTCATTTTTCAATTCCGAAGGTTTAAATAGAAAGTTTATTTAAATTTGTTCATTTTGACACTTTTGATCACTTCAACATCTTTATCAAACATTATTCCCTGCCACATATCAGGATAACCCTTCAGAAAAAGATATAAATCAAGGAACTCTTGTGGTCTTCAATTTGGATGCATCTGTATCAAATGATGACCTTCGCCTAATATTTGGGGCATATGGAGAGGTCAAAGAGGTACGTGTTAGGGGTTTCTATTTGATTATTTATTATTTGTTGTTTGGAGTGATCCTTGTATATAAGCATCTGAGTCTTTCACTATCTTTATGGCTGTTATTTCACTTCATTGAAAACACAGATAAGAGAAACCCCACACAAGCGGCACCATAAATTCATTGAATTTTATGATGTTAGAGCTGCGGAGGCAGCTCTCAGAGCATTAAATAAGAGTGATATTGCTGGGAAACGCATTAAGCTTGAACCTAGCCGCCCTGGTGGAGCACGTAGAAAGTAAGTATTAGTATGATGACGCTGATGCATAGCAATTTGTGATGCATAGCAATTTGTGCTTCTGCTTTCTTTGTGGAATTGATTCTTGCTTGTCTTCAAAATTTTTCCACAAATGCAATGGATGAAAAACATTTGTTCATGTGAGAGAAGTTTTTAATCAATACAAAAAAGTTCCCAAAGCCTCTCTGTTATGTTTAGTTAAGCCTATATTATGTGGTGCACTAGGAAACCCCCCTCCCTCTTTTGGAAAAGGGTTGGTGAAACAATGCCTTTGAAAAAACGACAGTCATATTTATGCTAATCTAAACAGTGATAGCAGATTGATACTTCCTTTAATGAGTACTTATCTCATGGAAAGAAGTGTTAGCTGGAAATATGGCGTATTAAACATAGTTAGGAATTATTAGTTGGTTATTAACATTTTGAATGTCAGTTCCATTTTTCTTCCATGCATGAAATTAGCAAAGATCTACATGTTTAAGAAAGTAAAACAGACAAGAATATTGTTTATCCAAAGCCTAATCTACATTAACATGAGAATTTCTGTAAATTTATAGCAACTTGGAAGCAAATTCAGGATCCTGACAAAAATGAGACTGTAATGCCAGGATCCTTGGTTTAAATGACAAGCATCACCTTTCTGTATTGGGTTAATATCTGCGGAGTGGTTGTCACCGCTTGCTTTGATATTTTTTGTTTTTTATTCACATGACATGATTGGGTCTTCAAAGTATATACCACGTATATTTCTTGAGTCTCCTTTATAGCATGATCTATGTTATATTCATTGATCATCCTGATGTTAAGTGTCTTTTATATGTAGTATAATGCAGCAAATAACTCAAGAGCTGGAACAAGATGAAGCACGAAGTTTCCGTCATCAAGTAGGCTCACCAGTGGGGAACTCTCCTCCAAGTAAATGAGTTCTTAAGTTTCTTTATGATTGTATGAGAACTCGGTTATTTTTAAGCATTTTCTATCGGCTCCAAGGACCTGTACTTTTGAAACTCTTTTAGATTATGGGCTGAACCATTGTTACTGCTATGACAGGTACTTGGTTACAATTTGGCAGCCCAGTTGAACATAATCCATTGCATGGATTTAGCAAGTCCCCAGGACTTGGAACATTCAGCCCTGTAAATGGAAATAATTTGCCTGGGCTGGCTTCAATTCTCCCCCTTCATGTATCTAACCCTGCAAAGATTGCCCCAATTGGAAAGGACCATGGAAGGGTTAACCATGCAAACCAGATGCTTGCCAACTCTGGATCAATGCAAGGGGCAGCCTATCAGCATTCTCGTTCATTCACTGGCCAGAAATTGAGCACGAGTCCTGTTCCGATGTCTACTTTTGGGGAATCAAAATCAAGTTCATCTCGTATAGGCACATTGACTGGCCCTCAGTTTCTCTGGGGAAGTCCTGCTTCTTACTCTGAGAGTGCGAGCTCCTCTGCTTGGCCAACATCATCTGTTGGAAATGCGTTTCCATCACACGGGCAAGGACAGGGTTTTCCACACATCAGCAGGCATGGATCTCTCCTCGGTTCACATCACCATCATGTGGGATCTGCTCCGTCTGTTCTTCCTCTTGATAGGCATTTTGGCTTCTTCCCAGAATCACCAGAAACATCCTTCATGAACCAAGTTGCATTGGGGGGTATGGGTTTAAATCGCAGCACTGGAAGTTATATGATGAACATGGGTGGCCATGCAGCTGTCGGTGCAGGCATTGGACTTCCAGGACCACCCCTGACTGAAAATGGTTCACCCAATTACAGGATGATGTCATTGCCTAGGCATAATCCTATGTTTTTTGGGGCTGGTTCTTATTCTGGACCAGGGACAATTGGCAATGAGGGATTTGCTGAACGTGTTCGAAGTCCGCGAGTTGAGAATAGTGGGAGCCAGATAGATAGCAAGAAGCAGTATCAGCTTGATTTGGATAAAATCATTAGCGGGGAAGATAATAGGACAACTTTAATGATTAAAAACATTCCTAATAAGTAAGATGATTGCTGAGTGTTTTGAAAGTTACTAAGATGTTTGGTTTTGACTGAGTTGGTCACCCAATGATTTCTTATGCTATTGTTTCCCTTCTAGATACACTTCAAAGATGTTGCTGGCTGCTATTGATGAAAATCACCGTGGTACTTACGACTTTCTCTATCTTCCCATTGATTTTAAGGTAATAACATTTCGGAAAACATTCATGTGGTGTTATAAACATAACTTGTTCATGTTGAATGTGCTGATGGCTGAA